TACACAATAAAATTAAACAGGCATGCTACATTTCAAGATGATGGTCTCATTTTCAAGCTTTTCTCTCGTCTTTCTAGTTTTTGCTTATATTTGCTATTTGATTTCTCAAGTTTGATTTTCTTTTCTTTTTTTCTTGCTTGACTTCTTTGTTCGGTCACTTCCTGTCAGTAGATATCAGAACAAAGAAGGAGGCAATTTTCTTCAAATTCAATTTAAATACAGACAGAGAGACTTTTTTTTTGTTTTTTTGTTTTTTTTAGTAATTTCCAATGGACCAGAAGTGCAACATAACATAATACTTCTCCCTGCCCGTCTCTTTCACCATTCAAAGGTAACAGTTCACTCATCCTTATTTCCTCCCGACTCCTTTTTCTCTTCACTTCCAGAAAGCTTTCAGTACTCACACAAACATTTTTGACCAATCCCAACACACGCTCTGCAGGAATGCATCTACTGATTAGTTTTAGCATCGTTACAACATTAGAATTACCACCAAATCATAATATATCAGCAAAAAGGAGACTTTAAAGTTTCTTGGGAGCAAACTTTAAGGTTTAAACTCAAACTGAGCTTTTTTTTCTGAAAGGGAAATGAAACCCCAGATGTCCTCCTCACTAAAGATCACAGCAAAGTATCCAATCATCACGTGGGAATTTGGAAAAGCATCAGAGGTGTTTTAATCTGCTTAATCACATTATTTAGACATCAGAAAAAAAGGCTCTGCTTTAGCTGGATTTCTGTTTTTATGAGTTGTGAAATAATAACCTCTCTGGAGTTTAGCAAAACTCCCCCCAGACAGAAACCCCCGAAGACGCTCCTCTGAAGTGGAGTTCACTTTTCAAAAGGTTTGAGGAAGAAAATAAAAGCTCGATCCTTTGGAAAATACGTGCTTTCGTTCTGAGTTCCATGTGTGTCTTAAGGTGGATTTTCGGGGATCTCTCCCTAAAAACAGACGTCTGTATGTTAAATATGAATCAGTTCCGGGTCAGAATGCAGATTTCTTCGGTCGTTCTCAGAGGAATTGGACAAAAAAAGCATAATTTGTAGTAAAATAAGCAAAACGAACAGAACTGCACGCCTCCAGCTCCTCTGATGGACCGGAGACTGGTTTTAGAAAAACATTTTATCCTTCTGATATTTAACTGAATTTGTCTAAGAGATGGCAGCATGTTCCAGATTTACAGAGGAAAAAAAATTAGGAGGTACAATTAACCAAAACTTTGGAAGACCCTCAGAGACCCGATGGATTTGGACTGAAACTGGAAAATATAGAAGAAATACAGAAAAAAACCCTGGAAGCAAAAGCCCAAACGGCCTCAGAGTTATTTGGTTTGGTTTGTTTTTTTTGTACATATAAAGTAGATGACTTTAATTTAAGAGAATCTGAATCTGGGCGGATTTAAGACTTCATCGGCTTCGGGAAAAAGTTTCAAGTCGCTTTTTTTCTTCTTAATTTGTCAAATACTCCCAAATACACCCATTCTTACCCTTCAAAGTGTTTTAAATTTACAGGAGTGAATTCACAAGCTTCATATTTAGCAAACAGATTCAAGAGTGGTATATAAGAAAAGTAAATAAACCGATCTCCCAAAAAGCCCCAAATCACCATCCTTCAACGTAACCGTTCACCCCCCCGACGTCGTAAAATCCCAAATGAATAACTCTATGTGCATTTTCAAGATAGCTTCTTCAATTCCATAAACAAGGCTCACGATTTCCGCTTATTAAGGCAAGTGAAGCGTTCCCCACACCCACTCCACCTTTTCAAGTCATTCGTTTGAATCCCAAACTAAAAAAAGAAAAGTAAAAAACTAAAACAAAACGGGTCAGGCGAGTGCTTCTGTTGCTCTGCGGGCGGGAACAGTGGTCAGAATCCGAACTTTGACCCAAAATCAGGACGATTAAATGTGCAAGCACTGAGCTCAGATCAGACTTAGAAAAACATTCAGTTCACCGACAAGCAGAACCCTTTAGATTCAAAACAAAAGGGAAGATAAAGGGTAGAAGCTTCGGGGGGTTTGGGGTCCTTTATCCTTTATCCCGGTCTCCTCTTCCTCACGGTTTAGTTTTTCCGGATTTTGTTTTTCTGGAAGTGGAGCGTTTGTTGGTTCGAACCTTTTCCAAAAGGCACTGCATAGTCACATGGTCTCTGGTCTCCGCCCCCCCCCCCCTCAGGATCCAGGAGGATGAAGAGGAGGAGGAAGAGGAGGAAGAAGAGGAGGAAGAGGAAGAGGAGGGGCGTGCAAAACTAGTTCTGCGTTGGGTGGACAGTAATAAAAACAGCATTAAAATGACATCAAGTAATCGACTCTGCTTCAACATTCCTCTGACCGCTCGGACCGTTCCACCGAACGAACGAGGGGGGGGGCGTGTCCTCAGAGGGGGGGTGGTTAGGGTTAGGGTTAGGGTTAGGGTTAGCCTAACCCTAACCCAGCTTATCCAGACTGGACTGCACAGGTCGGGAAACTCC